ACACTAAAAATCAGATTGACTTCATCTCAATCACAAGAAGTGGAAACAGACTACTGGACACAAAATCAAAAAAGGAGCAGATTTAGGCTCAGACCACTCACTATCTAGTGCAAGGAACCTTCAAAGTCAAGTTGGAAGCCTTGAAAGAACTTGGTGACAGATCACAGTTCAACACTCAGAAACTGAAGGACGAAACTACAAAGGAACGTTTTCACATCAGCCATCAAGACAAAATGGAAGATATCGAGGAACATCCCTGAAGTAACCTGTGTGGATGAACACTGGAACTCTTTGAAAGAGATATGGAAAGAAACCTGTATAACCGTATTAGGAAGGAAGAAGAGAGAAGATAAGGAATGGATCTCCACGGAGACATGGAAGCTGATAGAGGAGAGGAGGATGGTGAAGCAGAAGATGAACCAGTGCAGTTCAGTGCAGGGATGAACAACGAGAAGAGGAACTGAACACAACCTATAAAGAAGTGAAGAAGAGTGCGCGGAAAGACGAAAGACACTTCTACGACACACTGGCAAGTGAAGCAGAACAGGCTGCTGCTGACAACACTATATCAAATGACCAGGTTACTATCTGGGAAGAGATCAACTCAGATGAAACCAATGAAGGATAGTGAAGGAAGCCAGTTACCAAAGAGGAGAAACAAAGGAAACGATGGGCTGACCACTTTAAAAAGCTCTTGAATCGAGCACCACCAACATCTGCAACTCGTCCAGAAATATCACCAGCAGCCATAGAACTACAAGTGAACACAAGCCCTCCGACAAAACCGAACTGAAGTGCTGGACGCAAAAAGCTGCTGAAATCCTAGAGAGCAGCAGGACCAGATGGAATTCCTCCACAAACACTGAAAACAGACGCAGAGACAACAGCGGACATGAACACCACTATTGCAGAAGGTTTGCCGATTGATTGGAAGAAGGGCTACCTTGTCAAACTTCCGAAGAAGGGCGACCTAAGTCTTTGCAAGTACTGACGCGGAATAATCCTCCTGTCCCTGTCCAACCCAAGCAAAATATTATGCCGCATCATCCTGGAGAGACTAAAACATGCTCTCCATTAAAAATTATGACCGGAACAGGCTGGTGGGATTCACGAAGTACAAATCATGTGCGAACCAAATTGCAACGCTACGCATCATCATCATAGAACACAACATACAATGGCAGTCAACTCTCTACCTCAACTTCATCCATTTGAAAAGGCCTTCAACAGCATCGACCGAGAAGTAGTTTGGCAAGCAGCTGCTTCACCACTACGGTTCCTGTGCCACAAACCGTTATCAACCTCATTCAACAACTATATGAAGACGCCACATGCCAGGTAATTCACAATGGAAAGCTTAGTGACGCTTTTACAGTGAAGACAGAAGTAAAACAGGGCTGTCTACTATCACCCATGATCTTCTTTATTGTGGTCGACTGAATCATGCAGCAAACAGTGAGGAGCTAGAAGAGGGGGATACGCTGGACCAGGGGAAAGAACCTAGAAGATTTGGATTTCGCCGATGACTTCTGTCTGATGTCTAATGTCGAAGATCTACAGGCAAAAATGAACAAGTTGACAGATGAGGTAGGGCAGTTAGAACGGGACTTCAAGTGAACGTAGAGAAGATAGAGGTGATTATTATACCCTACCAACGCCACCACAACAACAACAATAACAACAAGCTCCAATCACCATCAACGGAGAAACTTAAAGGAAGTAGCCTCTTTCACCTACACCTATCTAGACAGCATTGTTTCAACTACAGGTGGCACAGACAAGGACGTCAAAGGCAGAATCGGAAAAGCAAGACTGGCGTTCATTAACCTGAAACTAGTGTGGAGATCTTCTGCACTAAACATAAAGCGTGAACAACATCCGGATTTTCAACACTAATTCAGTCAAGTCAGTGCTTCTATGTGATGGTTGAGAGACTTGATGTGTCACGAAAAGCATTTCCAACAAACTACAGACATAAATCATCAACAGCTGCCTACGCTCGTTACTGAAGCTCAGATGGCCAGAAAGGATAAGCAACAAGTAACTCTGGCTCGCAACGAACCAACCAAGAACCTATCGCTCATCAAATATGCAGAAGGAAGTGGAGATGGATTGGGCATGCACTGAGATCATTCGGGGACATCATGTGCCAGGCCCTCGAGTGGGCGTCCCAATTGAGAGTGAAATGGAGGAGATCGTGTGAGGAAGAAATTAGAGCTTGTGGGCAGTCATGGAGCCAGGTTCAAAAGATTGCAGAGAACAGAGTGGAATGGAGGCGTGCTACTGAAGCCTTATGTTCTATTAGGAACTCAAGGAACAAATAATAATAATAATATATACAAACATTCAGTTCCCAATCGATGAAGGTTCACAACCTTATTGGCCGTCTTTCCTTCATCCCTTAGAAACCTCCACCAAACACTTACATTGCTCTCATGGCAGTTCCACCATATGCGAGCAATGCTACGAAGACACCTGTGATAGAAACCGTGTAACAGCTTCATGTGTTTTACTTTCAACGACCATTCCTCACAGGCGTATAACAGGATAGATAGACTGTAGAGCAGTATACTTATCCTTTCATAGATAATTAAATATGTTACCGGCGCCACAGATGACGAAAGTTGGTAAATGCCAAACTGGCCTTCTGTATCTGGGCTGAGATTTTGACGTCGACCAGACAAGTAAGGTTGATGCAACTCCCCAGGTAAGTGGTCGACGATTCCACCACTTCACTCCCGATCATTAAACTGGGAGTACTTGCAGCAGACAAGTCCTGGAGTATCACCTTACATTTTAGAGGAGCCAGCAAGACACTCAACACCTTTAGAAGACCCTGTATCACGTCTGCGTCTTCACCTAGCAGCATAATATAGCTTGCATACTCCAAGTCAACTAGAGGCCCTTCAGGGAGTAGGTCAGTTCTTGTGAAGTCACACGTACCAAACGTAATGTCTATTGGCACATCAATGGCGAAATTAAGTGGGAAAGGTGTGCACTTCTGACGGATATCGCTTGTTGTCCTCAATTTTGGTGACAACTCTCCATAAGCCCTTTCACAGATACGTGTGTTCCAGTAGAGATTGTTGATTCACATTACATATTTGCCTGATACTCCTTTCACAGACAGACACTACCACAACACCTAACGGTCGACAGAGTCAAATGCCGCCCTCAAGTTGAGAAACGTGGCGAGTTTTGGCCGCCGGTAAGTGTGGCTGTGTTCCAGAACCTGTCGAAGAGTGAAAAAACTTGATTGATACACCCTCGTCCAGATCTGAAACCTGCCTGGTTTTCTCGAGCTCCAGTTAGGCGTTGGACAACTACGGACCGAAAGATACTGACCACGATGTTAGTCAGACTGATTTCCTTACCGTTTTTACAAGAAGACTTCGCTGTCTCTTCTCATAGACTGGACTGATCACTGAAGTAGACCAGACTCAAGAGACTACCTCTAATTCCCACATACTGTTACTCTAATCAGCAATTTCCTGTATCCATCTTGAAAACTTTGAGTGAAAAACCACCAGATCCTGCTGCTTTGCATCTTTTCAGGTTTGAAATAGTCTTCACAACTTCGAGGACAGTTGCAGAACCGACATCTCTCTCTCCTTATACTTGAAATTAGTTCTGTCCAGAAACAAGTGGTCGTCAGAGCAAAATTGCAACAGATAGTCACCATTGTTGGTCCGTTGGCATGGAATTTAGTAAATACCACCAATGTGCCCTTCTAATTGGTTCAGCTTCCCTACTTGAGCGTTAAAGTCACCGGCCATTAGGATTATATCTAAATATTTTACTTTCCGTAGCAAAACTGACAGCTCTTCATAGAATTCATCCTCTGTGTCACACCACACTGCAGTTGGTGGCTGCGCAGGTGAAAATTACTACTAACCATCGCCTGGTCTCATGATCCTTCCTAGTTCTTAGAGATCCCTTAAGTAGAACAGCACAGATATGGTTGCTGACTGAAATCCAGTTGGGAAGGGCACATTTCGCTCTGTAACTCAATGCTATGCTTACACCAGCAAGTTCACAAGAACTAGATATTGGGTCTTTGGATACTAGGAGGGTGAATTGCATTGGTCAGGTGAAGTCAAATTAATAACCCTACTCAGGTCCTGTGTCTCATAAATACAACATACACCCATGGCTCGAGATTCCAGAGTTCTGGTAAGCGATTCGGCGTAGAGTTCAGGAGTTGAAAGCCCCAGTGTGAAGTCGACAGTGAGGTCTAAGGAGACTAGGAATGAAGTATCGATGGCTGTGGTCGTTCGCAATGGTTACAGAGTGAGAGGTTGAGGAAGTTGGTTGAGATATGTTTGGTTGGGTCTTGTAAACCACTGGAAACGTGGAGGTGGTTGACACTTCCCGGTTGCCCACACCGTCGAAGGCTATTTCCTGAAAGGCTATTAGCTGAAAGAAAATAAGATTTGCGTGACTCTAAAGCCCGTGGGACATCTGCTTGATGCCTGTCACACACAGCCTTTTGAGGATTGTTGGTATGAGATTTGATTGTCCTAACGCAAGATAGAGAAAACCCATACAACTGAAACAGGAAGACGGTTAGGTAGGAAGTGTGCTACTTTAGGGGGGGGCAACTTTTAAACTACCTCTTCTCCCATAGTGAAGGCAGGATCAACGTGACACTGTTGTCACGCCCTATCCAGCCAGCAATATGACTTCACCCTCGGATCCCTATCAAAGTGCAACAATTTACACTACAACGGTAACTGTTTTTCGTCTTACCACTGCTCAACAAACCTTTCGAGTGTAGTACAATCTCAAAAGAAAAAGCGTCCCAGTCAGTGTAGCTTGTTGAGTCACAATGATATGTAAGCCTAATCAGCGCGTCAAGGTAGCAGCTATTGATCGGGAAGCAGAATGTCATGAAGCATACGTTACATTTGATACGTAGTGGAAAAAGTGATCAAATACTCCTTCACATGATAACAAAGTACCTATTGTGTAATCATTCATTGCTTATAAAAACAACTCACTTGCATTAAATGCTTTGGAATGGTGTGAGGTGGTAGGACTGAAAAGGCATTTCTTTGTGACTGTAAATCATTGTTCACAAGGTGAGTAGTTTTTAGAGACGATGACAAAGAAGAAGACGATGTGTTAACCGAAATGCCTATAACTTTTGTATGAGTATTCAGTGAATCAGGAGTCGATGTAACCAAAGAGCATTCACTGCCGATGAAACCTGAAACTGTTGTATGAATAGATGTGTTTTGTGGGTTACAATGCGTTTGCACAGTTGAATTCGATGTAGAATTCGGTCCAGTTAGTAGCCAAGACATAGCTGATGACGATTTTGAACCTGACTGAAGTAACTGTTTAGATTCTGGTTAAATTCTTGTCCATTTGATGACTCACAAGGTACAATGAATATCGGATTTACTGAACTTCTGAAAGGATAAAACAAAAAAATCAATAACAATCAGTCAAAAAGTGTATAACTAACTATTTATTTGTCATCTGAAGGTAATACTTATGACATGAGAAAGATATTACTAGTCAGATGCTAAAACAGAAGAGACTCAGTTCGAATTGAACACTCATGCACTTATCCTAAGAAAGAGAGTGGATACAGTTAAGTATTCACCAAACTGCTGTTTAATCTAGTTGAATACTTTGAAGGTTGTACCGGAAAGTAAATTTCTAGAAAATTAATGTACTATTAGTAACCATGATACATGCATAGATTTCCTGGAAAAAACTTCAAAACAGAGAGAAAGTAGAACCATATCAAAGTTAACTGAGGTAAGGATAGTGAATTAACCTCATCAACATCCCCGCTAATTTATAATAAAAGCAAACAACGTGAATGAACTTAACTCTGAACCTATTTTAGCAGTGTATCAAATGCTTTGTGCTCAAGGCCTTCATCAGCTCTGCTTGTAAAACCGTAGGTTACACAAAACACAATAGTCTATAAGTGTTAGTAACAGAACCGACGAAGTTTCATTGTTGATTTATTGGTGCTTTTAATTCTTCGATGATTATTATACTCGACTAAACTGATAGATTTCTATTGGCATATGAGCTCTCCTTGGATGGATGTCTCAAGTGTCGTTTCAATGTTCTTTGGTGGTAACTAGTAGCAAAATTTAGGAAGCGTGTTTCATCCTATTTGGGACTTGTCAGCCAGATGTACGTGTATCCGATGAGTAGTGTCTCTACTGATACTCCACTGAGTACTAATCAATTCAAGCGCCAGAGCGTTGTTACCCACTAGACAAATGAGTCACAACGGCAGGCACATCCAGCTGAGTCCCAGTAGAACGGAATGTACATCCTGAATTCCACTGCTAGCTATCACCAGGCGAATAATCTTCACTTATCCTTTCTAATCAACCTGATCCTACAGGATAGATAATTATCATCGGCTTATATATCACCTTTCAATCAACAGAAAATCCTTCTTTTTCTTTCTTATACACTCAAATATTTAACGACCAGTTTGTGATTAACTATTCACCAACAAGATCCGCGTTAGTCAGATTAATTAAGCTACGTGGGATGCTTCAATTACGATAATGGAATCGTCATGCTCATAATCTCTGAATAAAAATTGCTTAAAGTATTTAAAAACCTCGCCTGGTTAACTAGTTCACTAGTTACTAGCCGGTCCTAAGCCCAGGTGAAAAGAGGGAAGGCTGGGCATACGGCTAGCAACCCTACCCCGGAAAACAAATATAACCGCTAAAGAAACTTCAAAGCACAAATGATATATAAAAAATAATAACAAAATTATTCCTCGCTAGAATCAGAGAGGCGAAATGACGCCAGTTGGTGAAAGCCTTCGGGAAGACAATTGGCCGATGTGCCTTCTCTTCTCTCGATGAAAGCGAAAGTAAACGTGGGGACATGGAATGTCCACACAATGTCTGAACCCAGCAAGGCAGCCCAGATTGCAAACGAGATGAACAGGTATCACATCGAAGTGCTTGGAATTTGCGAAAGCAGATGGAATGGGAGTGGACTCTCCAAACTGTCAACTAGAGAATCAATAATCTACTCCGATACTGTCACCAACACGACAACCACGAGCACACTCAGTTTCGGAGTGGATATAATGATGTCCCCAAAGGCGCCGAAGACTCTCATGCAGTGGGAACCAATCTCCTCCACAATCATGACAGCAAGGTTCAACTCAAAAGGAAGGAAGGAAGGTCACAATCATACAATGCTATGCTACGCACCTACAAATAATGCAGAGCAAGAGAAAAAGGAGGAATTCTACAGACAACTTCAATCAACACTGGACAAGACCCCACCTCAGTTGGCTATATCAAAATTCTAATGGGCGACATGAATGCTAAACTGGGAGCAGACAACAAAGGAAGAGAACCAACCATGGGTCGAGAAGCGTTCGGTGAGGTGGTGAACGAGAATGGAGAATTGTTTGCAAAATTCTGGGCATTCAACGATTTGGTGATTGCAGTGGGCAGTGTGTTCAAGCACAAGGATATCCACAAAGCTAGCGACATGGATTTCACCAGACACCAGATGGACACACTAAAAATCAATCGACTTTATCTCAATCTCAAGAAAATGGAGACGCAGTCAGCCTACTTGACACAAGGTCAAGAAGAGGAGCAGATGTAGGTTCACACCACTCACTGTCTAGTGCAAGGAACCTTCCAAATCAAGTTAAAAGCCTTCAAAGAAGCTGGTGATAGACCACAGTTCAAGTACAACACCCAGACCAGAAACTGAACTGAAGGATGAAACTACAAAGGAAATCTTCACGTCAGCCATCAAGACAAAATGGGAGATATCGAGGAACATCCCTAAAGAAACCTGTGTGGAAGAACACTGGAAGTCTTTGAAAGAGATGTGGAAAGAAACCAGCACAGCCGTATTATGAAGGAAGAAGAAAGAAGATAAGGAATGGATATCAATGGATACATGGAAGCTGATAGACCAGGGAGAGGAGGATGGTGAAACAGAAGACAAACCAGTGCAAGGATGCTCAACGACAAGAGGAACTGAGCACAATGTATAAAACACTGGACAAAGAAGTGAAGAAGAGTTAACGCAAAGACAAAAGACACTTCTACGAAACACTGGCAAGGGGAGCAGAACAGGCTGTAGGTAAGAGAGACCTGACAACATTGTATCAATAACCAGGTTACTGGTTACTGGGAAGAGATCAACACACATGAGACGAATAAAAGATGATGGGGGAAATTTAATTACGAAAGAAGAGAAACAAAGGAAACAATGGGCCGACCACTTCAAGAAGCTCTTGAATCGACCACCACCACCACCTGCACTTCGTCCACAAATACCACCTACAGCCCAGCCACAGAACTACAAGTGAACATTAATCCTCCAACAAAAGTGGAAGTCCTGAACGCCATAAAGCTACTGAAATACTGGAAAGCAGCAGGACCAGATGGGATCCCACCAAAAGCACTGAAAACAGACACAGAGACAACAGCAGGGACATGCTCACACCACACCACTATTGCAGGTGTGGAAGGAAGAGAAGGTATCTGGCGATTGGAAGAAGGGTTACCTTGTCAAACTCCCGAAGAAAGGAGACCTCAGTGTTTGCAAGAACTAGTGCGGATCACTCTCCTGTCCACCCACAGCAGCAAAATATTAAGCCACATCATCCTGGAGAGGCTAAAGGATGTGCTGGATTCAAAACTACGACCGGAACAGGCCGGCTGGACTCAGGAAGTACAAATCATGTGCCGACCAAATTGCAACCCTACACTACACATCATCATAGAACAGAGTACAGAATGGCAGTCAACTCTCCACCTTACCTCAACTTCATCGACTTTGAGAAGGCCTTTGACAGCGTCGACCGAGAGGTAATTTGGAAACTGGTTCAATACTACGGAATACTGCAAACCTTTATCAGCCTCATTCAACAACTATATGAAGACGTCCACATGCCAAGTAATTCACAATGGGAAGCTCAGTGATGCCACTGAAGTGAAGTCAGGAATGAAACAAGGTTGCCTACTATCCCCATGATATTCCTGACTTTAGTGGACTGGACCATGCAGCAAACAGTGAGAAGCGAGAAGAGGGGGATACACTGGCTGGACTGTGGAAAAGAACCTAGAAGACTTGTATTTCTCCGATGACTTGTGCCTGATGTCACACAAACTACAAGATCTACAGGCGAAAACTAACAAGTTGACAGAAGAGGCGAGGCAGCGAAGGGAGACGGGACTTCAGGTGAATATAGAGAAGACAGAGGTGATGAAGATACCCAACTAACAACACCACCAACAACAACAAACTCCAATCACCATCAACGGGAGAAACTTAAAGGAAGTAACCTCCTTCACCTATCTAGGCAGGCAGCACTGTTTCAACTACAGGCGGCACAGACGAGGATGTCAAAGTCAGAATCGGAAAAGCAAGACAGGCGTTTATTTGCCTGAAACTAGTGTGGAGATCGTATGCACTCAGCATGTGGAACAAGATCAGGATTTTCAACACCAATCCAGTCAAGTCAGTGCTTCTGTGTGATGGTTCAGAGACTTGGCGCGTTACGAAAGGGATTTCCAATAAACTACAGACATTCATCAACAACTGCTTACGCTGGCTCGATACTGAAGATCAGATGGCCAGAAAGAATAAGCAACAAGGAACTCGGGCTGGGCAACGAACCAACCAAGAACCTATCACTCAACAAATATGCAGAAGGAAGTGGAGATGGATTGGGCATACACTGAGAAGGCCGACTGGGGACATCACGCGTCAGGCCTGTCACTCGAGTGGAATCCTCATGGGAAGCGACGAGTTGGACGTCCAAGGGTGGCATCGAGGAGATCGTGCGATAGGGAAATGAGAGCTTCTGGGCTGTCGTGGAGCCAGGTTGAAAAGACTTCAGAGAACAGAGTTCACTGGAGACGTGCTACTGAAGCCTTATGTTCCATTAGGAACCCAAGGGACTAATAATAAAATAATAAAAGTATTTAAAACTGTAAAATGAACAAATTCGTTTGTTGAAAAACATTTTTCATATACCTTTTATTACAAACCGTCGGTTGACATGATTTATTCTCGGTCACAGGTAGTAAAAGTTTCTTTGACTGATCAGGCGCAGTAGGATAAAGCGATAAATCAGCGACATAAGAATTACAGTTATCATTCGTAGCAAGTGTTTTGAAATTCGGATCAATATGCATACATTTGGCAGAGTCAAATACAGGATGATGGGAGTTACAAAGTATGTCCATAGCATCCATTTCAGCTTCATCTGGCACATGTTCATTTGCATTTATGATAGCTATTGCATAACCTTGTTCATGTGCTTTTTGAACTAAAGATATCTGACTGCCAGATCGCAGACCATGTTGCGGATGCAGTAAAAGACGTGGAGCCCAGACACCTGCATGAGCAACACCTCCACCTTGTAACACAATAATGATGGGACCTTTGTGGGTAAAAAAGTTTGCAGAATGTAAAACTCTCATACATTTTGAGGGATGTCCAGGGATCTATTGAATTATTAGAACGAAAAAGACTAGGCCTTTACTAAATCATATAGACTGTGAAACAATAAGGTAGGTCGCTAACTACCAAAATGATAAACGATTCACACACAATGTTCCGTAGCAATGGTTACGTCAGGATTCATAAAATTCATATAAAAACAATGCTACACATAAGTGGCACTATTTTAAGGATTGTTGAGGCCTGAAAATTCCCAACTACAGGATCACATAGATTACTGAGCAAAACGTCTCAGTATTGATGATAGATAGTGGCTAGCAGTGGAATCCAGGACGCGAGTTTCGTCCAGTTTGAGGCTCATTGGCTGAATGCAACGGCCTCCCAGTGAAGGATGTTGTTCACAATGAGACTAGAACCTCATACACATCTCTCCAAACGGCAAAGCGTCATCAAACAACCACCGAGCCACGATAGTCATCATCATCATCACAAACAACATAGGACCAGGCATTACTAAATAACGGTCCAAGTTGCCACACCTCACGTCAGTTCATCAAGTAGAAAGGTAGTGAAGTGCAAGATGAAGATAAGTGAATGCAGTCAAAAGAAATATAAAGTACGAGAAGAAAAGAAAGAGGAGTGACAAAATGGTGAGACTCGGTATAGTGTCGTTAAGATGACATCGGTTCTCAGCCATATCACCTAGAGTCTCCAACCACTGGTTCCTCTTGTTCCACGGACCTCACCACCGGCTAGTCTGCATCGCCCCACATGGCTCAAACCAATAGTCAAACACTCCATACATTGGTGCCATGTTTCAGTCTGGCCACCTAAGGCCTTTCTCCAGCCTGGACCCACCTCAGCCAACATTGTGTGACGAGGCAATCGGTGACTGGGCATACGTAACACATGTCTCAACCATCTCAGTCGATGAAGGTTCATAACCTCGTCAACAGATTTACCCCTACTCCCTAAAACTCTACACCTGACTTCTGCGTTACTCACGTGGTGAGACCACAGAATACGTCCTACACCACGAAGGCAACGCTGGTCAAACACTTGAAGCCAGCCTTCTCATGTCTTCCACTTTCAATGGCCATGTTTCACAGCCATACAGTAGAACAGAGTGGACTGCTGTGCAGTACACGCGACCCTTACTAGACAAACGGATATCATGGTGGTGCCATAGGTGGTGTAAGTTGGCAGAAGCCAATCGAGCCTTTTGTATCCGTGCAGAGATTTTATCGGCAACTAACTCACCAGGGTTGATCCTACTTCTCAGGTAAGTGAAGTGGTCAACACACTCAATCACCAAACTCACTATTGTTAGCCGTGGCACTGTTGAAGACCAATCCTGGAGCAAAGATTTTCATTTGGGTGGTGAGAAATGCATCCCAAACATTCTCAAATTCCCACTCAAAGTGTTCAGAAGACTCTGCATCTTGTCAGCGTTTTCACCTAACAGGACTATGTCATCTGCATATTCTAGGTCTAACGAGAATTCTCTCACTATTAGGTCAACCTCTGTATAGTCAGGTGATGACAGGGAGAATATCTGTGATAAAATGAAAAAGAATGGAGACAGTGGGTATCCTTGACGAACACCGCCCGACGAGTATAGCTCCCCGGACATCTCACCATATGCGCTAACACGCCTGCAAGTGTCCGAGTAGGGAGCCTTCAATAAAGTGATGTACTTACTCGGCACGCCTTTCAGTAAGAGACATTATCATAAGACTGCGCGATCAACGGTCAGCGTTCGCGCAGGAGCCCATATGCCAATGGAGATCGATCAATTCAGTTTAATCAATGATGGGATAATACAAGCAAAAACATTAAACAGTCTTAGTGTTTACGGATAGACAAAAGGTCAGAGAGATGAGTGTTTTGATGAACGTTATAACATTATTAAAGACAGTAATCATTCGGTACTCCCTCACTTTCACTAGTTATTAAAATACTATTGATTCGTGATGAGATCTATTCTGATAAAATTCAGAACTAGGCTGATGCGGTATGAATCGGAATTGAGCCACGGGACAGTGACATGGTAAACTAGCTCCATGTACTCGTTTTGCTTCCCTAAACCGGCAGCTAACAAATCAGAATCAAGTCAACAGAGAGTAAACGGAACAAATCTCGTACTAATGAAGATAAAATGTCTACGTAATTACAGGTTTCAACACAGTTATCTTGCTAGTAGGGGCAATTCACAGTTAAAGTCAAATTGTAATTTTGCTTTTAATTACAAAGTTTTTAGCGGTAGGATGAAGAATGATTGATTCCCCAGGAACTTCGCGCAAAAATTTCGGGGAAATAAAATATTTGCTTTATCTTGAACCATAATTATGTTTACAGTACAGAATTCTCAGAATATGATATTGCACCAGTTTACCCGTCGTACAAGATTTTTCAAATGTATATTACCGATGACGCTGTTTAGCAACACAACAAACAATAAAAGGATTGTTGAAATGTTTAATCACTTCAGGGTCATGATAATTGTCCGCTATTGCATTATTGATTGATAAGACTATGTCTAACATGACTTTCTCCATAAAATACATGAGCTAAGGTGATAATGTTGAATTTTTGTATGTAGTTGTGAGTGCATAAAGTTTAATACATTCGCTTCTTGTTTTCCTAGAGGAAAGAACATAAAGAGGGGTGAGGATGCACAGGTCGCTTGTCATCAGATAAAATATTTTTAGCCAGCTGTCTACAAGAGTTCAGATGCCAATTCACGACTGCATATATCAGCCCGGCTAGTGGAGTATCACTTGGTCTACCAACAGCCTCCAAAATCCTAAGCAACACAGCGTAGTCTTCCTTCAGGAGTCCAAGAGAGAATAGAGGGGATAAGTAAGTATAGACAAAGCACAGGAATCAATGAAACGCAAGAGTAGAGTACAGACTTAGTTTTTCCAGGCCGACTCATAGCTGCTACCTTGACGTGATAATCGGGCTTGCATATCACAACGACCCAACGAGCTATGCTGGTGAAACGCTTGTTCCCTCGAGGTCCTACCATACCAGAAAGGTCTGTTGGGTAGTGGTTAGACGAAAAGCAGTTACCGTTGTAGTGTAAATTGCTACACTATGATGGGGGTCTGAGGGCGAAGTCGTACTGCTGCTAGCTGGATGGGGTGTGACAGCAGTAAGGTGTTTCCCTTGGATGACCAGCAGTGCCATGCTGATGCTGCCTTCTCAGTGGAAGGGGGGGTTAGAAAAGGTCGGCCCCAAAAATAACACACTCCACCACGCCCCACGGTCTGCCGGGCCGGCGGTGTTGGTTCACTTGTCGTTTCCTTTCGACCATCCGGCCCCAAAAATACAAAAGTTCAAAATAATCATACTCAAAAGGCTGGGTGTGACAGGCCTCAAGCAGATGTCCGATGGGCTCTGCGGTCACACAAATCTCTTTCAGGTACCTTAAGAAGAAATAGCCTTCCACGGTGTGGGCAGCCGGGAAGTGTCAACCGCCCTCACAACTCTGTCAGCACCCAAGTTTCTTCTGACTGCTATCCTCCTCCTCCATCATTACCTTCTAATCTTCCTTCACGTCTCTTAATTAATGATGCTGCATCATCTTCAATTTCTCCTACCTCTGCAGCCTTCGACAACGATCTGAGTCCACAGAACAGCATCCCTGGTCTCCTTAAACCACGCTCCAAATTACATATTGGAGCCTTCAATGTCCGCACCCTCCGTCAAATTGGCCAACAGGCTTCGTTGGCAAAGACTCTAGCAACTCGGGCATGGATGTGTGCTGTGTTTGTGAGACACGCATACAGGACCCAAGTGTGGTTATTCACCTGACCTCTCCTGACCAATCTGGTGAATCTGCAAAATTCACCCTTCGAGTTTCTGGAGATTCGATAGCTAGCTCTCGTGGTCTTGCAGGTGTAGGCATAGCACTAGGCAGAAAACTCACTACTAGACTGGATCCCAGTTGATAGTCGCCTCTGCGCTATGAGGCTGAACGGCACAGTGAGAACTAAAAGGAATAGTGAGACTCGCCGTTGTCTCTTTGTAATCTCTGCTTACGCACCCACTGACTACAGCTCGGATGAAGTGAAGGACGAGTTCTACCATAAACTGTCTAACCTCCTCTCGAAAGCCAAACGTTCGGACGTAGTGGTTGTTGCAGGTGACCTCAACGCACAGGTGGGTAGACTGAGTGAGGCAGAAAGGCACTTAGGTGGCACTTTCGGAATCCCAGCTGAACGTACAGATAACGGTGATCGCCTATTACAACTATGCTCAGATAACCGCCTATTTTTAGCCAGCACAAATTTCAGACATAAAGAAAGGCACTGTCTGACCTGGCGTCCACCGAGCTCGACTCAGCGATGGACACAGATAGACCACATTGCTATTAGTCATCGCTGGAGAGGATCGGTGGAGTACGTGTTTGGACAGCGATCATGCGTTGGTCCGAGCACGTATATGCCTGCGTCTCAATGGACGTAGAAAAAATTTGGCAACAAAACCACTACGAGTTCTGCTGGACAACGAAAACACCAAAGCCGTGTTCAGTGAGAAGTTGGCTAGGCAGTTATCGGAACAAAAGACTGTCACTCATCCAGAAGAAGCTTGGTGCCATCTTCAGTCTACTGTAAAAGCAGCACTGGAGACTGTAGCCGACTCCAAGATAATGGCTAAAAAGAGCCAGTGGATATCAGCAGCTTCTTCCAAACTAATGGATGCACGTGAATGCATCCCTGCAGGCTCTGAGTACAATGAAGAGCGAGCGCAACTTAAAAATAACTGACGAAAAGTCTGCGCAACGATCGTGAACAGTGGTGGGCAGCGAAGGCTAAAGAGATGGAAAAGGCAGCGGCGATCGGTAACAGTAGACAGTTATTTAGACTTATTAAGGAGACTGGGGGAAATGGTCAACAACAGTTAGTGAGGCTATAGCGGAGAAGGACGGATCTGCGATTCACTCGCAGGGAAGACGACTGGACGATGGGCAGAACACTTCGAGGAACAGTTTAACTGGCCTCCAGCCACGATTGCGCTGCCCGCTATCCAGTCGGAC